AGGAGTGGAGCACCCAATTTTATGTAAAATTCAGTGCACTGAGACACAGAACTTCTGCAGCATTTTGTGCATCTACAGAGAGTTGGGCCTGACTCTAAAAGCAGTCTGTAGTTCTTAGCTAAGTCCAGCCACTCTACCAGCTTTCTTCTTGCAAGCAATTTGTTCCTGTTCTCTGTGGAGCACCAAACACTGTTTGATGTACAGCTCCTTGGAGGGCTGTACTTCCACCTGTCCCCCAGCTCATAACCACAACTGTGAAGCACCAGACCTAAAGGTCCAAATGTGGCTGGATGGGGATGTTGCAAAGACAACAGATGTACCCTCTGCTCTCAAGAGCTCTGAGCCTAGTATTAAGATATGAGACAGCTGAAGTCACAAGTGAGAAATACAGCCCGCTGACAGCTACGCTGAGGGGCAGGAACTGCTCACAGCAGAGAAGAGCTTACAGGATGTGAAAGGAGAAAATGGTCTTAAAAAGCTGTCTCATGCTTATCAATTCCACAATAGAGAGCACGCTGTGTTTGAGCACAATGCAAGGAAGAACGGAAACAGCAGTGCTCAGAGCTGATGAAGAGGCTGGGCTGCTTGCAGTGACAGGTCAGCTGCTGGAACCCTTAGGAGCACAAACTCTTGAGACAAGAGGAAGAAGCCAGCAAGAAACACGTCCATCTGCAGCAGGTCAGCTCCTCGTTGTGAGCGTGTACCTCCCATTCGCTGCACTCCCTCACCCAGTCAGGCTCCCGGCAACCACACTGCTGCAGGTGGGGCCACGACGGGTTCCTGACAGAAGAGACTGAGCAACTTCTCAAAACAGTGCCCCGCAGGGACAAGTAAGCCCCATTCTGTGCCTGCCTTTCATCTCACGCGTGCTACATTCCTTTAGGTGCAGGTCATATTTAAAAGCGCAGAGAAAAGCAAACGTAAAGGACCTTATTATCCTCTTCTCGGCGATGCTCATGGGCAGCTCCCAGAGGTGCCCGACCCCGCGCTCCTCTCCCTCGGGCTGCGGCCCCCGGAGCTCAGCAGCGGCGATTCCCCGCAGGTTCCCCGGCCGCTCCTGGACATCTCCGGCGGCCCGGCGCCTCCGCACGGATCGGTAGCTGGGCAGCTCCTGCAGGAACCCTACAGGTGCCGCCGCGCGCGACTCCTCTGGGGAAAAGAGCTCTGCGAGACGGAGGAAGCGCGTTTAAAACATGGCACCCGGCCGGGAGCGCGCACCCCGCGATCGCCGACACCCCGCGGCGCTGCGAGCGGCACGGCCGCCCCCGTTCCAAGCCCCACCAGCACCTCCGGCACCACCTGCCGCCCCGGCCCCGCGCTGCCCCCTCCCCCCCCCTTCCCGCAGCTCTCCGCGCGGTACCTGCCGCCCTTACCGCCCCAGCTGCGGTTGTCCGCCACCCAGCCCGGCAGCTCCGCGCCGGCCCCGAACTCGCTCATGTCTGCTTGTGGACGCCGCGCTGCCGTTTCCGGGCGCCGCGAAGTTCGGGGAGCGGCGGGGCGGCGGCTGCCGGGGCCGGGGCCACCGGCGGGGCGGGGGCGAAGCTCCGCGCTCCGTCCGCGCTCCGCCTCCTTCGACTGCAGGAGGCGCGCGCAGCCCCTCCCTCAAGCGGTGGAGGTGGGGGCGGTTTGTGCCCGGGTCCGTGTGTGAGTGGGGCGGCGCTGCGGGGTGAGGGGAGCGGCTGAGGGCTGCGCGCTGCTCTGACCCAGCGCTGTGTTCAGTACTGAGCCCTCTCCTTCCGTGGCAGGGCTTTGTGGGTTGAAAATCGGGGAGTCAGGCTTCGGGGCGTTTATCTTCTTATTCCACTTCCCTAAGGCAGCGTGCAGACACGAATAAAAATCTTTTCGTTGGAGAGAAGTGATGCCCACACACCCCAGCAGCGAGGGCACGAGGCTGTGGTACGCTGGTTTAGAAATAAGTTCTGTTTTGTCATCTCATTCATCATTGCGTCTGGTGCGAGGAGCAACGAAAACTCAGACTGATGTGTGGTTGAGAGCCGCCAGGTCCTCGGCCTGAACTCCTCAACTTGTTGTGAGCACTTCTTACCTTCAGTGTGAAAATACGTAAGTGAGGAAGTAGGAAAGCACTCTGTGAGGAAAAGTAATCTTTCTGCAGTAAAAATGAATCATTGGGTTTCAGGATGCTGAGTCAGGCATCAGTAAGGACACTCACCTCTGTGATGTCAGCTCAGACTTGGTTTTTGAATTGCTTTATTAGCAAGAGGAATTCATATGGTCACATCAGTTTTCATAATCATAAAATGTTAGCGATAAAAGTGCAAGCTAGCATCTGTGTGTACTGCAAGTAATGTAGGTGTGCGTGGTTATCAGTGTGTTTGTGTATTATGTGCAGGAAACAAGAACTTAGAGAACACTGAGACATGGAACTACTTCCTTATTGCATGGAGCTATTTTCCAGAAAAAACATTTTGTTGATATTCCAGATTTCATGCTGGTATATTGGTCTAGAAAATAATTAACATGCTTTTAATATATTTTTCCTATGAGAAAAATCTATAGTATGTGCTCATGTTTCCATAGGTCACTGTGAAGGCCAGTTCATAGGCCAGGAGGTCATGTCTGCTGTTTCTTCCCATGGTGGTTTTCCCAGGTGGCACATTTTGCATAGCAAATCCTGACACTGTGTGGCTGCTGGAGGCCAGGCTGCACTTTAGCTCTAGGATGTACAAGATCTGTCTGTAACAGAGCAAGGTACTGCAGGGAAATGTGTTTACAGGGGTTATTGTGGTTCCTTGGTTGAGCATCGCATTTAATGCTCTCTGTTTGAATAACTTCCACTTGACCATTCCTGAAAAATTGGGTGTTAAAAATTGAAACCCCTGAAAATCGTGTTGCTGAGCATTCGTGCAACATCTGCAAAGTGTGCACCAGCTGTGTACATTTATAGCACCACCAGAGCCTAAGTGCCCGCTTTTATTGGTGCATGGAAGCCAACCAAGCATGGATATTTGGCTGTGGCTGCAAAGCAGGACCAGCTCTGACTTAAATAGGAATTGTTACGGGCTGATGCTTTCCCACAGTGCTATGTGGGGTGTCAATATTGCTGTTTATTTTTGTTCCTTTTCTAAGAATAAAAAGAAGAAAGGTAATACACTTGTTAATAAGATTGCTGTTCTGAAATGCTGTGTGATAGAAGAAACTCTTTAAGAACAGATGTAGATAATGATTGCAGGAATTGCAACAAGGTTGACTTCCCCAGGAATTCCATGAAAGCATTCTCTCTTCTCTCTTTTTGAGTAGCAAAAGCTGTTCAGGACCTTGGCAATGTTTCTGTTCATTTTACGATTCACAGCAATCTTAGGTGGGAAAGCAGGAAGAGAAAGAGTGCTAAGGAGATGGGGACAGGTGATACAGCCAGTGTCAGTCACACGCACGCCTGTGGCCACTTCCTCTTTCGGGTTGTTTCTCCAATGCGCCCCACTCACAAAGCAGCAGTTCTCAGTCTGCGCTGAGCACAGAAGCTTGTGCCATATTCTGCCATGATCATGGGGACCTGAAGGTGTCATTTAGTAACAGCACACGCTTCCAGGACACTTTGTGTGTATGTGTGTGGTTCTTCTTAATGCTCAAAAAAACCCAAGCTTCTAAGATTCAGAGAAGTTCTGAGTGTTCAATTCTGGGCACTTCTTGTATTCAGCCACCTCCTGTTTTGCTGTGGATCTGCGCCGCATGCAAGCAGCAGCTGGATCAGCATGAGAGATCTTCAGACAGGTCCTCTGCAGTCACGCCAGGAATGTTGCTTTGGGCAAAACATGTTCTTAAAGCAGAACTAGAAAATTTCACCTAATTCTGTGTTGAATGCATCTGGTACAGGATATAGGCACGGTTTACCTAATTTCAGAACTGAATAAGCACTGTCCACTTGGTAAAAGTGATCCTTGTGCACTACAACAGTGCAGCTTCTGAACACAGGGGAGGTTGGTTTGTGACTGCTTCCCACCAGCTGGGAAGGCCTTCACTCCAAAGGCTGGCTGACATTTTGTTTTTACATCATCATCATCATTACCATCTTGCTTACCAGAGAAGCTATTTAGGAATAATTTCTGGAAGCTGTAAGATATGTGCTTGCTGTGAATATTAAATGTGCCAACATGGTGTAACAAACTATATAAACATAGGAAGGGATGGGTTCTGTGGTTCTGTACAGAATCAGTGGAAAGGAGACCAGTGATGGGCAATCCTATGGGTGTGATACAGCAGAGCCAGTCTAGTCCTCCTCCCATTTCTCTTTTCACTACTGCCTGTCCCAGTGGTGGCTGTTGGGCCCCACACTGAATTCAAGGATGCTGCTCTGTTGAAAGGACAGCAGAAGCCTTTGGGAAGGGCTGCAGTGACTGGCTGTGCTGGAGGAAAGCCCGGTCCAGCTCAGTGCAAGTAGGGATGAATTCCCGTCAGCGTCCAGCCCTGCTGAGGTATTCTGGAGGAGAAGCTGCTTCCTCGCTGGTGCTTCCCTGTCACTGTGCTCGTGCTCAGCTGTAGCTTCAAACAGAATTTTGTCCCGGTCAGCTTGAAGGGAAGATGTGGAGGAGAAGTGAATGTGAAAAATCGATAGGTGTGTATCACTAAAAGAGAAGAAATGCCGTGTGTTCACGACGTTCTACCAGAAAGCTGGGCTGGTGGTAAATCCCCTGTCCAGAAGCTGCCAAGTACTGCCTGGCATAGCGTGTCTGTGTAAGTATGTATTTAATTGGCCCTGCACGAGCTTTCCTGTAAGAAATAAGATTGTAAGGTCAAGGTTTTTGTTTATCTCTGCTCTATAAATGATTAATCCGAAGATAAAGGTAAATGCATCGTATCCCTAAAGATGATTTCTTTGTATTATTTTATTGTGTTGTTATTGCGATCCGGGTAAACAGCAAAGGAGGCGTTAATTCACAGAGGGAAAGAAAGCGAGAGACCCGGCGGTCACGCAGAAACAAAGCCGTAAACGCTGGACAACGGCCCCGAGTTCCGGGGGTAAGCGCGGGGCGGGCCTGGGGCGCCGGGAGGAACCGCCTGCAGGGCCGGGCCTCGGCGCCGTGCGCGGAGCGAGCCGAGGGCAGGTAGGGGCGGCGCGGGGGTCCGGGATGCGGCCGCTCTCCGGTGGTTTCGCCACGCATCTGTGCCGCCGTTGTCGCTCGAGCGGCCGGCCCGGTATCCTAGGGCTCCGTATTGGTGTACAGGAATGTAACTGAAAGCTGGGCTGCGGGTTTGCTCAGGGATGTGCGAAGCTTCTGCGGGCTGGGAGGTGAGCAGCCACCCGAAGCCGTGCCCAGTTACGTGGCGCCTCGTGGCTTCATCTCCTTGTTCATCACTTCAGAGCTTCTGCTGTCTTCAGCCGGAAAGGTTGATCCCGTACGGATCAGCTGCCGCAGCAACTTTCATCGTTCCCTGGCGTGTTCGGTGTGCCGAGGTGTGCCAGCCTTGCTGGGATCACCAGCTGCTAGCATGGCATCTGCTCTTGCTTTGGGGCAGCTTGCTTTTCAGACTCTGCCACTTAGTGAATGGATGTGGTGCTGCTTTTTCCAAAGAGCGGGTTGTGATTTTCCTAAATTGCAACAAGTAATGGGAAGCCAGAAGTAGATGGGGAAGGTTTTTATTCTGGCTATGAAAGTAATGAAGTGTTGTGGTATTGTTCTGTGGGCAGACATAACAGGAACTGGTGCTGTGTAGATGTCCCTGCTCTCACTTTTGTAAACAAGCCTCTAATTGTAACTAATGTACTCCTTCTGTTTATTGAACAATAGAATTGTAATGTACTCACATGCTACACTATATTATAACTTAGCTACATTTTGTCTGAAAAAAAGTGTTTAGCTTATGTGAAAGTAATTATCCAGTAATTTGAAAACCACTTACAAGGATTTTGAAGTGCGAGGAGAAACCTGTGACTCCATTCTGCTGACTGGTTCTCTCCAGCCATTTTCTGACTTGTTAGTTGATTTACTAGCACGCAGTGAATAGCTTTTGTTTTTTTCTCAGGGTCATTGTGAGTGCTGGCTGCACAAATAGTTATCAATGACAGTAACAGAACAGGAAGTTAAACCAGGAATTACAAACAGAACAATACCTTTATTCTGTTGGACAAAACTGTGCACCTTCAAAGCTCCATTTGTTAATCTAAAATGATCATATCTGTAGTTTTAGTGTGGTTTTCCAATTGAACTTATGAATGAGATTCCTGTAACTGATACTGCTCATTAAAGTATAATTTGAAGGTTGCATTTAGTCTGGATAGCTGTCTATTGCACGCACAGCATAAACAAAGGTTTTTTTAAGGCAAAACATTAGAGCTGTTGTAATTGGTATCTTGTGCCTCTAATGGATGTTCTGTGTTAGGCTGTCTTTACAGTGAAAGCAGAAAGCTTAATTTCAAGCAAGTGTTCTTGAATACCACTTTTTTTTTGTTAATCAGACATTTCCTTCTAATGCAAGTAGCTGGTAATGCTGCTTAATAGATAGACAAAAATATTCATTTTGCAAAGCAAGGCTTAGTTTGTAGTTTGGAAATGTAGTCACAAGATTGACTTGCATGGATACAGAGATGTTTGCCTTAGTCTCCGTCTACAAACAAGGTTATGTTTTTCAAGTGTTTTTAAGAGAAATGCTCATCGTTAATTATTCTTACTAATCTTTCCTGCAGGGGAAGCACATGTGCTGTTTTTACTCTTAAGTTCCCTATTCCAATTCTAGTAGTTATTATATATCCCTGATGGTTTTTAGCCAACTCTTAGAATTTTCCCAGTGGATTAAGTTGGCAACTTGAGGTCACAGGTAATAAGATAGAAGCAGCAAAGATAAGAAGAGGCTTGCACTCAAAGGAATCTCTGCAGAGAGGATTGGATAAGGCAATTGGGTTATACAAAATCACTGTGGTATGTTCTTCTGTCCATAAGGGTTGTGACTGGGTGAGATCTTCTAGGTAGAGGAATGGATGTGGCAGATGAGGGAGAGTACTGTGAACTTCACTGTCGTGGTTTGGACTTGTTTCTGTGATAAATTAATGAATCTGAACTTTAATTCACTGCTACTAGACAAAATTTTGAAATGTGTGCCAAGTTCTGAAGGCTCAGGACAGGGTAATTAAACTATATGTTGTAATTATTTTTTTTTAATGTTCCAGTGTCACATTCATTATAAAGGTGTTTAAACTCAGGTGAAGAGTCAAATCCCATTGAAATGCTGCAAACATGAAGTAGCTGGCAATCCTCTGAAAGCCTTATTTAAACAGCCACAGGTGATGTGGTGTTAACTTGCAATTGAAGTGGACAGGATGAAATGTTGCAGTCTTAATATATTTTGGGGCAGAGAGAAATTACAAGAGGACTATTAAACGGAAAGGACAGGCAAACAGATGAGGAAAAAAAGAGGGTATAGAGCAGACATGGAGCTGAGCTCTTCAGGCTTAAGCTGTAGCTGTAGACTTTGGGAGCAGCCTGTTGAGAGCAGAGAGAGTCCATCAGTAGGATGTTCCCCAGTGTCAGATGGATGCTGTTCTACAAGCTGATGTCAGCCTGCCTGGCTACAGGTACCCTGTACCCTACTCTCTCTCATCAAGAAAAGGTGGGGGGATGGAGAGAATGGGATCTGTATTCTGGTGGGGGCATTGTATTGTAGGGCAAGGAAGTGCCTTTCTTTGTGAGCTGAGGTTGGGAGAGGCAACAGCGCTGTGACCATAATGACAGTGCTGTCACTCTCCCCCATTTTCTTCCCAGTGTTCCTGTCTGCCATTTGAATGCTGCTTTAAGCAGATGGGTCTTTGCTACTATCACTTGTCTTTCACTGAGAAGGTCTTTTAACAGAGGCTATTTGCGTTGCTAAAATTTATTGAGAGTCAAAGATAATAAAGGTGACATCAGCTCCTGTTGTTCACTATGGTAACATCAATAGAAGCACAAAGGAAATCCAGAAGGAGGTGGTGTTTGTCGGTATGGATCAGGTACTTTGGCAGTGTGCATAAAAAGTAATTGACTTTCACTTCCTTGTATGACTCACATTTGTTTCATTGCTAATATGTCAGTTTAAGATCAGGCTGTTGATGTAGTTCAGGCTTTGTCACAGCTGACAGGCCCTCTGGATTTTCTGGGAGACTTCCTATTTCTTGCAGTAGTGTTGAAACTGCTGGAGTTGAGTTAGTGAAAAAGCAGCGGTGAGTATTGGAACCTAATTGCTGACAGAACTTCTGTCTCTCAAACTCACTTTTGGCTTCCAGAAATCAATCTGATTTTTCAGTTTGAAGCTATGTGGAACATTGTCATGGAATGGTGTAAGAGCAGAGGAACCCTAAAGGTCATCTAGTTTCAACTCCCTGCCGTGGTCTGATTGCCACCCAGCAGGTCAGGATGCTCAGTGCCCTGTCCTACTTGGCCTCGAATGCCTACAGCGATGGGGCATCTACAGCTCTGGGCAGCCTGTGCCGGAGCCTTACCATCCTCTCAGTAAAGATTTTCCACTAACAGCTAACCTAAGTCTCCCCTCTTGTAGTTTGAAATCATTCTGCCTTTTCCTATTGCTATCTGCTCATGTAAATGGCAGCGTCCCTTCTGTTCATAAGCTCCCCTTAAGTACTGGAAGGCCACAGTCAGGTCTGCCTTGAGCTTTCTCTTATCCTGTTCAACAGGAGAGGGACTCAACAAAATAACTTACATAGTGGTGGAGGGCTGTTCGGTCATACCCTAGAAAATTAAATGGTCTTTATGCTAAAGGAAAACATTGAACCAGATGAATCAGCTCTTCCGTAATTTGTTCCCTTTGTTCAGCACTGTTAAGTAAACTATGATGTAGTTCTGCAGCTTACTGTTTGCGTTGACTTACAGGATTTCTGTAAGTAGAATTTGCTTCACGTGTTCTTTTTGAGGAAAGCAGGTAAATGGCTTGAAGGTGTGAGGGTTCTCCTGTAATGCGATACCACACCAAAATGTAGTTTAGCCAGCCATGCGTGTTTGTTTGATTAAAATTCTAAAGGAGGATTGGTGTCGCAGTAAATTACCCAAACAGGAGTGGATGAAACAATCTGGGAGTATTTTCTGATAGCTGTTGGTTTGTGACGTGAAGGCCGTTATTTATTCTGGGAAGTGGTCCAGAAGCACGAGCTTGCACTGCTTGAATGCTCCTGCTTTATGTCTTTGCAGCGTGTTCAAGGATTTAAGTGGGAAGCACCCCATCTCCACCTATACTGTAACTTATTTGCTTGTCTGTGATTCTTAAGCCAGCTGACCTTAAAACTTTCTGTTCTCCAGTGTGAGAAGTAGACAAGATTTATCTATTTGCTTGCCAGAATCCAAAATGTCACCCAACAAATAAATGCCACCCTGAGAAGGGAAGGTTTGCTGAGCTTTTAATCTTCCTGAGTAATCTTTGTTCTTCAACTGTTCACTTTTTTCTTTTGGAAGATAACTTTTTGAAGGGGAGGGTAAGTCTAAACTTCATATCCGTTCCTGGAGCCATGATTTACTGGATCCCATCATAGTTCAAAGAGGAGAAGAGAGTGGTTTAGCTTGTATATTTCATGCTTCTGGCTTTTCCAATGAAGTGTGACTGATAAGAAATCTATAAACTGCCAGTACCTCAAACCACAAACCAAACCAATGTTGTACACACCTGATTTGATAGAAAAAGTTTCTCATGATTTTGGGGTTTGGAATGGAGGAAGTGGGTGGATTGGTGTGCCATCTGTACGCCCTTGTGTGCTACCTGCACTGCCCTGGCATGCTACTTGTACACCTGTAGCATCATGTGCACTCATCCCACTCCAGAGCATGTTGTGCACCACGGCAGTCTTTGGCTGAGTATGGGTGCAGTCAGGAAACAAGCGTTTTCCACATGGTTTTCCATGGGTTTTCTTACTCCAAATGCCATTCAATGGGGCCTAATATCCTCAGCTAGCAAGAGGAAAAATCTTTTTTTCCTTTTCAGTTGGAAGAAAATGTCTGTGTACGTAGGAAATTAATTTTAAGTCCTCCAAACTTCAGGAGCAGGGAAAAACAGCGACTCGCTTCACATGTTGGGTTCCATGTGAGGCTGTAATTGTCCTTGTAGATTTGCAAGGAAATCCTGACACTTATGCACTGCTGTGCATCTTAGGACTCAGAGGAAAGGAAGTGGATAATGATGGAGCCAGTGGACTGTCAGTCTTGGGCATATTGAAGGTCTGGAGGTCTTCAAAAGAAGTAAGAGAAAGAAGTGATGGCTGTATCTTTCAGACAAGCTGATCTCATTCTTGTTGGTTGCACTTCAGCAAGTTGGTTGGTATCACTGATGGATGCTTGCTGCTGGGCAATGCTGGTTGTGCAGAACCCACATGTTTACATCCAAATATTTCTTCTCTACGGTTTGAAGAACAGGCAAGCTGACAAGCCATTAAGATTTGTGCTGGGTCTGAGGAAGTGAGGTTTCTTGGAAACCTGCTGAAAAGCAGAACAATGTCGTTTGGGGCATTCTAAGAGAGTTGTCTGAGTGTTTTCTGCCTCTGAGAAGGCCATCTTTTCTTTAGCTTTTCATTACAGTTTGAAATGTTAAATATTTTTAGAGGGAAATGTACTTTTCTAGGCAAATTGTTGCAGCAGACCCTCGTCATGTATTGCAGAGTTATGTATATGTTCTTTTAAATGGAGCCTGGGGACAGAACATGCCCTTTCCTGCATAGTTTGTACAGAACTTCAGCACTGGCTTACAGTATATCTGAAAAGATGATGAGGAACTCAGTGGCTTCTGGCAAATAAAACTCACCAAGACTTTTCATATAGGAACTGTTAGATTCCTGGAGTGATTGTTGATTTTCTCTGAGGATTGCTGGATTTCTCTGGCTCTGCTAATTACTTGTCTGACTAAATGAGAATCTCACCCTGTTTCTGTACATACGAAGCTGCAGCACGAAAAAAGCACATTTCACTTGTGGGAAGTGGTGTTACAGCTTTGTGTTGGCAGGGATGGAAGTCCATTATTTCCAGCACGGGCTGCTTGTCTGGTGTAGGCTTTTATTGAGTATTTGCTCAAGATGTGGGCCTTGTTATAACGTACTTCATCACGATATAATGAAGTATAGACAATTTTCTAATTAAAATGTAAGACTTAATTCAATCGATCATTAGCGTTTACATTCAAATCTCTCTACAAGTCATCAAGCAAAACCTGGACTATGTTTTACATCTGTATGTCTTTGTGTCCAGGATCCTTAGAGGTGCAAATGACACAATCCTGAGCTTGTTTTGAGCAAATGAGAAGATTTTGCCTGGCCTGCAAAGCCAGACAAAAGCCTTAAAAAGGCACTGTACAATTATCTGTTTGGAAGATTAATTTTCTGTGTGTGATGCTTTCTTTACAGCAGTAGAAATTAAGTGAAAACCATTCAAGACAGAAAGGTTGATTGAGAGTGCAGTGTTAAATGAAGCTCAGCTCCACTTTTCTGGGAGTGGAGTTGAGATTAAAGCAAGGTGTCTGATCGGTTTTGCCAGATCTATCATTTTATTAATTTATTTTTATTATTTTGTATTTTGTTTCTTTTTTTTTCCTTCCCTGTTGTTAAATAGCTTGCTAGCTGGTCGAACTTGACACGATGCCTTTAAGAACAAATACTAAAAATTACTTCCTTTTAATTTATTTTTTTAGTACAGCTTTGATTAATTACAAGAACTACCTATTTAATTTGGATTCTGTCTTTAATTTGAATAGAAGATTGTCCTTTCACTGACTAACCTGGACTAGTTTTGCTAATAATTTTAAACTCTGACCAGGTTTGGTTTGTTTAAAGGTGAAGTGAAACTCTAAGAAGTAAAGCTAAGGATGAAACTATTTACAAGATCAATACATGAAGTCATTAGAAGAGCCCTTGTTGAGAATGGTCCAGTGTCCCAAGCTCACAGCTGAGGGTTGGAGGTGCCCCTGTTAGTGAGGAAGTGGGCAGACTTTTCTTACCTGTTGGTTTTGGAGTCACAGTGGTCAGAGAAAAATTGTGTGTTTGTTTTTTCCTGTATGAGGAAGAAAGAGGATGTACTTCCTTCTTCTTAATGTTTTAACAAGCTCCTAAAACCTGCTTTTAGTCAATGCTGGTCAAGTCTTCATGTGGCGCTCCAATTCTGTAATCTTGTGTAGAGTGTTGTCAGCAACTGCGAAACTGCGAGACCCCCCCCGCGGGGTCTGATGTGTTAAGCTCCCTCCCTGCTCTAATGATTGATGTGTGATGTGCCCCCTTGGGGGCGTTGACGAAGTAATTAGGCTATATAAGGTAGTGTATACGGGTAATAAACGCCATTTGCTGCTCATCATATTGGTGTCGCCTCAGTAATTGGCCAAGCTGCGGTCTCCCGGGAAATTCGGTACGGGCGTGAAAAGCAACAGTAGAGCTAGCTATAGAGAAATAGGAGTTCTTGTTTTACAGGAGTCTTGTAGTGGACCCTAAATTTCACAGTGATAAACAAAATAAAGTCAGAGCACGAAGATGGTTCTAATTTCTGTTTATATTGTTGTATTTTGCATGTTAGTGAGGTGACAAACTCTAACTAAAGGCAAAAATGAGGTTCTTTCTTTCCATTTTGTATGAGTGTGTGTGTATACATACATACATATATACATATATATATGTTTTGTAATTAGGTCAGAAATCGGTCCACCCAGGAACGTGTTACTGGAGCAGCAGAGACAAAAATAAGGGAGATTTCTTCTCTCAAACCAAAGACTTGCCATGTCTTACCATTACAATGAAGCCTTTGAAAATCCAGCCTACCACTTCTCAGAGACACTGGAAGTTGATAGGAGATGAGTCCATTTCATGTGGCTGTTGTGACTGTGCCGTGAGAAATCGTTATTTATGTGCAGGGCAAACTTTTTCTTCAGAGTTTTAGTTTGTGACATGCTTTTAATACCTCCTTTATGTTTGCTTTCTCAGACACAAGTTTTTGAAGCTGTCAAAAGGAAGGCATCAGTCGAGAAATTGCATGCTTGGTTTTGACGTGTTATAAATTTTATCAGTTAAATTGATTTTAAGTTTTATAGCATAGATGTTAGGGATATTGTTTAGTTCTGGTAATGTTTACAACATGCTATAATCTTGAATGTCTTAACTTTTCAAGCACTTACTCCTGTTTAGGTAGGCTCCATGTTAACTTCAAGTGGAGAAAGGCATTAGTCTTTCTAATTCATTTGATGACCAAATCAGAATTTTAATGGTGAAGTTCCAAATATGAAATACTTCTTAGTATCTGACTTCCTCTTGTAATATAATCAAATTTGATGATACTAGGTAACAATTTAATAAGAATATTGATTGAAAGGTTTTTTATGGCACTCAAGGTTTTCCATTTTCTTATTCACACAGCAGGAATTCTGAAGGGAATCAGTTCTCTCACCGAAACCCTTACGATTCTCTGTCGTATAGTTACCAAGGAGAGCACAGAGGAAGAAGACAAAATTATCCTCCAGCCATACCAATGGCTTCTCTGAGACACAACTCTGAATACAGTGAAAGTTTACCAATGGCTTCTCTGAGACACAACTCTGAATACAGTGAAAGTTTACCAAGAGTTCAAGTCCTGAGCAGAAGTCCATATGGCAGATCCCAGGGTATGTAATTTCTCATATGAACATGCTTAGAAACAAGTAACAGCTTGCTGTGTCCTGCCATTCTGGAAGGCTCAAGTCTCTGCACGAATTTGTGTTTGTTGGCAGTGGTTTTTTTGCCTTTTTCGTAGGAGTCCAGATGTTAAATTACCAAGTGAGAACACTGACTATTTTATTAACAGATCAGTAAATGCTTACTTTTATGTACTACATAATTAATTGAATAGTAGGTTGTACACTGGGAAGAGATATAGAAGTGACAGGATATATTGCCATACGTATAGTAGAGCTGTATTTGATCAAAAGGTCTGATATTCTGGGTGTGTTAATAATCTATAGCAGCACACAACTTTCTGTATAATTCTGATTGCCTTCAACAGATAATCTTTCCTTTGAGCCTGAGCCAGAATTGGCCTACAGCCCACGTTCTGCCTTCGGTCCTTTGGATGACCCCTATACTCACAGATTTTCCAGTGCATCAGAAGGTAAGACACACAGTGCTCTATCAGGATATTGATGTCAGTCTCACTCTCCCTAAAATAGTAAAGATTTAAAAGTCTGCTTCGAGTATGAAGATTTTCACAAAATGAAAGGAGTCAGAATACATGAATTATATTTTACTATATAATTGTGGCTGAATTTTTCAGTATTTCTGAAAGTGATGATCTTTGTTTCTTGAGCAATGAGAGGTGTAATGCCTGTGCCTTCTAACTGAAGCTCCCAATAAGTTGGTCATCATAAAATAAACTTACACAGTTATTTGAAGAGGCATACTGTAGGAGGAAATAAGAGGAGGATAGGATGCGTTCTTCAAGACTGTCTGTAGTTACTGAATTTGTTACTGTGTTGTCTAAGTGTAAATGATTATAGCAGTAACTAGAGGTTTATGTTAATGAAAATGGAGTGGACTGAAATAATACAATCTGAGTTCTCTCTTAGACCAGCATAGCAGCTTATCAATCATTTTCTGGGAGGAATCTGCTCTTCCTGTATCCTGTAATCTCTCTGTTACAGTTTGTTTCCTGCCTGGAAAGTAATTGAGGTCTTTTTTTTTTGTTTTTTTTTTTTCTTCATGGGAACACAGTCTTTGATTTAGGATTGGATTTGGCAAAATCTTATGTTTATATAGAATAGTAACTCTTTTATTGGTACCTGGAAATGCTCATCCCGTAAGTGGCCACAGAGATGGGCCATTTCCAAACACTAACACTCCTGCTGCTGGTATTTTTTTAATACCAGGTAGGAAGGAGAGAGTGCATTTCCAACATAATCACGTAGGGATTAAATGTGTAGTGCTGAAAGTGCGTCCACGTGGAGATACAGATGTTTTTCATTGCTACAAAACAAGTTGGCTTAAAGTAGAAATGACAGTGGTGCTTTTAGATCTGAGGAGTAAATGTTAGTGAGCCTGCAGCATGTGTGTCACTGAGCAGACATGTCAGTTAGTTGGGACCTTCCAGACTGAGGGACTGTGCTCAACATGTGGGTGTAGCACTGAGTAGGTTGGCCATTGTCTTACTGGGGAGTCAAGGTAAGTGAAAGTAAGGCTGAACTCATCTGCTTCATTGCTGGAACGTGGATGCTTTTAAGGAAACTTGTTTGAATGATTTGATGAAAGAAGCTTGATGTATCTAAAACAATGACTCCAAATCCGTGGAAGGATTTTAAAAGAAAGGAGCTTTCTTCTAGAAAGAAAAACTTAAGAATCAATGTGTACATGTATGAATGGGTTAAATGAGACAGTTTTTCACAGCAGGAGAAGACTCTGTGCCACTTTGCCAGCGTGTGTCTGAGAAATTGCCTGCAGTCATCACACATCACCTAGGGAGAAGTTAGAGGGAGAGTGTATGTTTGCATGTACTTAGAGAGATGGAAGGGTATATTTTTAAACTGTTTCTATGAAAGTGAAATTTGAATGTCTTAAATCAGTTTAGCCTAGGAGTATCCAGGCTTATTAAATGGTGCTTGTTGTTGTTTAGGTAGCTTTGTTCGGAGACGCAACAGAAGGCCATCTGACACTGTGACATTTGCAACCCTGTCTCAAGCAACTCCAGAGTGCAGAGGAGGTAGGAGTTTAGAGAAGTGTTTTTATGTGAGGTAACATCTTGCACAGTTATGCTGTGGCTGATACTGTTCTTGATTTATCATCAGAATTGCGTGTAGTTTTTCTGTGGTTACAAGAGCAGCTTGTTTTTAGTTAAGGCTAGTATTTCATCTTTTGTACTACTAGTGTACCCTAGCACACTACAACATAAATGAAGCAAAATGCAGTATGGTTTCTTGTTGAGAAGTGTAGCTTTTCTTTTTATAACTTATTAGGATTTGCTTGACCAGCTGATGATTTATTATTTTATTAGATGTCTCGAGTTAGCATCGAATTCCAACTATGTGGAAATAAGATGAATGACAAGTAATATCTCTGCCTATTTTACATAGACCAGCATGAACTAAAATCACAGAATAAAAGCTTAGAGTTCAAGTTGATAATAGTATTTTAGAAGTGTGATTGTCAGTGATCAAGGAATAGACCAGCTCTTCGGAGTTTGTCAGTGTTTTGTCTTCCTTACAGTACAGCTCTTTGTATTAGCATTCAGCAAACAGTAGACAACTGATACTTACTTTTTAATGTGCAGTATTGTGCTACTTCCATGCGTCTGTATTAGAGCACTGGTAAAAGTAAGGATATTCTAGACAGAATCATTGTCTTAGAACATGACATGCATTAGTAGCTGTGAAAATGGGAATGATTATATAAAGTTTCAATTTTTTAATAACAATTACTATATTATCACCCCCAAATTTGGATTTATCATTATTTTTATGCAGAGGAAAAATTAGTTGACAGTCTTGCAAGCATGTCCAAGCGTGAAAGGATTAAAGCAATCCAGAAAATGCCAGAAACCATGAAAAGAAAGAGAGAGATCAGGTAACAATAAAAGTTCTGTTTAGTTTTACAAGCAGTACAATTCTTGACATGTAGCTATCAAGTATGCGTGTGCGCTAGCTGCTCAGCTTTGCTTTGTCCCTTTGAGTACGAAAAAACTGACAGTACTTTTTAAATAGCTTTTAAAAAGTTAACATCTTGCAAGGAAAAATAATTTGAAGATGGTTCAGTGTCCTTTCCCTGAGTGAGAAGACTCTCATGTAATATAAAGCACAATAGCAAGGCCGTGCCCTTCTGCATGCAAGTATGTCTTGTGACTCTTATTCAAAGGAAAGTTGAATGCTGGCTGTTAAAAACAGAGAAGAGACCACGTGATTTCAGCCATCATTTTGATCATTGCGTACATTTATTTTATACACGTGAATATATTTAGATGTTGTTCCTAGCAGTGACTTAGTAGAGCAGTTGGAATGTGGTGCCACACCTCAGCTTGTAATGGACAAAGACCATTTTAGCAGCTAACACAAGAAGAACCAGCAGAACCATCTCAAGTTATTGGCTTGGTCATGAGCACATGTTTGCAGCAGCTTCTTTGGCTTTTGTTCTAATTACAGCTCATGCTGTCACTCCTTTGTCCTGCTTTCCCACAGGAATAAAGTTCTCACAGAAATCTCAAAGAAATCAGGGGGCTGTGGTACTCAGTGTGGCTGCTGTAAGCACTGTCTGCACAGAGCAAAAGCGGTGAGTGTCAGGCATGTCAGTGGGTAACAGCTGGAGGGAGCTGTAGCTGCAGTGTTATCACCATCTCCACAGGTGCTGGGCATCTTGTGGTCTTATTTCGTTTCTTCACTGTTCATTGATAATGACTTGCATTAGGTAGGAAGAGTGCGTAAGCATTCTGTGATGCACTGAAAGGTGGAAATCTCTTCTTATCATCAAAATGGGGCTGTAAAAATGTGAGGGTGTATTATGTGGATTTGAGTCCTGTGTAAGGCTGCTCACTGAGGTTCACCTCTCATCTTTTGTTCTGTAGTCATTTCGGCAATTTAGAAATACCTTGTCAGAATATTTTCAGCGACTGAATTTCTGGCACAAGACTCTGAAGAGCATTGGTGGAGAGTTTGGAACAAGTGTTCTTTCTTATTTTATTTTTTTGAAATGGCTGCTGAATTTCAACATCTTCTCATTCCTCATAAACTTTGGTTTCATCACAATCCCTCAGTTTGTTACAGCAGAACCAAATAACCTTTCATTCACGGGTCTGGAGCTGCTCACTGGAGCTGTAAGTATGTCACAGTGGATGTGTGTTATTTTTCTCTGCAACAGTTCTGCTTTAAAGACTTGTGGCAGTGTAAAAACTAATTATTTCTTGAGAGATGGAGGTAAATTTTTACACGATTAGAAGAAATAGTTCATACATACTTGAGGAAAGGAGGCTGTGTCAAAAGTTGACTCAGAGTGGAATGTATGTGTTCTGATGAATTTGTCTTAAAGCAGATGGTTGCTATGTTAAGCAACATAGCAAGACTTTTTCCTTGTAGGAAGCAGTGGAAGAGTGGAAGTCAGGCTTTCTGGAGACAACTACGATAGTCTTTAGGACAATGTATTTCCCATGCTAGTTTTCCTCTAATAATACAGTCTGGATTTCAGTGTGTGATCCTGTGATTTTTGCTTATTTCTGAAGCTTTGTTCTTCTAGGGAGCGTGCAGATCTTGGTGTGGCAGCCTGTTGAGCAAAGTGTGGCTTAGAAGGAGCTTTTCAGTTGACGGAGATATTTCTTCTTGTGGCATAAAATCTCAGGCTATTTGGAAAGAAGGACTTTGCTCTAAGCCTAGAATTGCTCCTTTTCTTTCTATCTTTGACCGTTTTAAGAATTCTGTCAGTTTAACTGATGTTAAAGGATTCCTCTGTCCAATAAACAAGATTCTGCTCTCCCTAATACTTAGTTGAGAAGAAATGTTTTTTAAAAAAGATGCCTGCCTTTTCTTTCTAGGGTTGGTTTTAAAGTTGTGTGTTCTGTAGTAAGAACACTGTTCAGTTTTGCAAAGCAGAGGCACTGTTGCAGGAGTTCCGCTGTGATGTTGTAACTCAGCACAGAATGTCACATGTTTCATTCCTGGTTCCTTCACAGTTGTTGCAGTTTGTTGGTACAGAACTTTGCTCCTGAGAAAGAAGTGATCGTGCCTTTCCCTCTTCAGGATTTTTCAGAAGATACCAAATCATGCAAACATAGATTGCTCACAATCATCCATATGATACAGATCTGTAATCACGTGCCTCTAAAAACTCCCACAGCTTTTTGGGGGTATAAGACAAATAAAGAACTTGATATTTACAAATTTAATTGCTCCTCTGATTTCACTGTACAGCAGCTCCCAGGTGTGAATTAAGCCTTAGATGATGGTACTTCAGCAACAGTTCTGAATGATGTCTGTATATTTTCAGGGTTATTTTCAACAAACAGTACTCTACTACGGCTTTTACACCAATGCTACAATCAGTCAAACGAAGAATGGTGCATCTTATAACATGCAGCTGGCCTATATTTTCACTGTTGGAATATATTTTGTCATCTGTTTGCTTATCTTGGTGTTCAGGTAAACTAGCTATATGTTCTTATTTCATTTATATTAGCAAAAAAAAACCCTGTATGGTTGGCATGCATGGTTGCATGAGTATGTTTCTGTAAGTTACTGTTTATAGAACAAACTCAGAGGCCAGTATCATGCATAAAAACTTCAGTAGATGAATGAAGAATAAGTGCAGAATATTAAGGGTCATGCAACGAATCCCAGTTCAAAGCAACTAATATGATCCCCCTTTTGTAACGTGTTGCTCATGGTATTAACGTGTCCTTCTGAAATTGATGAGCTAAAGATTGTCAGAAGCAGCTGGGTGAAAGAACTGTGAGAGTTGTCTCACATATTAAAGTCTATTTTCTGTGTATTCTTATTTGAGATGCTCTGATGTAGATCTGCTAGCCCAGAGAAGGGAGAGAAAAACTAACATTCCCACTCCTGTTCTGCTGTGCAACCTTGATGGATTTTCCTGTTACACATCTCACAAATTTAATTTTAATTGCAGCATGGCAAAATCCTTCTGCAGAAACATTATTAACCCTCAGATGTACTCTGGCAATGCAAGCAAACTTCTCTGCACTTGGGACTTCAACATAACTAATGAAAAAGCTGTGAAGTTGAAACAAAAGAATCTCAGCACACAGATAAAGGTAGGAAATACAGGAGATACAAAAAGGTGCAAAGGTACAGAATCAGCATGCTGGAGTCACACTGCCAGAGCGTGTGCACAAATAAGCTTCTGGCACTGACCTGAGCATGCCAGTCTTGTTTCTAATAAACTTCAGTCTTCCTGGTTGTTATGTTTAACTTGGTTTGAACTCCTGGATTTGTCTTAGCTACTCGTTTTTCATTTCACTTTAAGCTACATGTAAATACTTATATACAATACTTATATGTATATATATTTATATATTTTTTTCCTATTAAATGAGTCTGTGACTATTAAATATATGCTAAACAGAATATTGCTTCTGTTTTTCTTTTTTTTTTTTTTTTTCAATTTAACTCAAAGAAGAGCAGGCTTATAGGAAATGTTAAGTACAGTATAGCTGTTAAGATAAACAACTTTTGGGATAGGAACACATAGTTGTCTAGTAAATTTTCCCACTGTACCAATACTCTAAAGGGGAAAAAAATACATCAACCTCTGAGGCAGTTATCTGAAGCAGGTTTTGCTTTATGCTGTCACCCAAGGAGTTCTTCATTAGGATTTGTTTCCTTGCAGGAGGACCTCGCTGAAGAAAACAAAGAAGCTCTAAGTTTTACTGTAACAGAGAGAATTGTTCGTATTCTTATCCATCTTGGGTCATGGGCTGCTTCCTTGGGAACAGCAGTAGCTGCTTGTGCTGGTGTTTACTTCCTCTCCATTAATAATCTAGAGGTAAGTACTGATTTTGCAGCCCTTCATCCCAGCAGTTGCTTGCCTCAAATCGTGGCTGTCTTAGAGTGCAGCTGCTGTCATTAAAGAAGAAGGCCTGCCTCTCCTTTGTCCTGCAGATGGTTTTTAAAATGCGGCTCCCACCATGGTCCTGTGCGACTCATAGGAAGGGCAGGGTTACATGCTGAACAGACATGGAACTGTGAAACAGGATTACGTCCAATCTGAGAATAGATGTGTGCCAGGTGTCCTCCCTGTGGACACAACTTGAGGCAGCATTTCAGCTAAAGTTCTAAGTTCAGGGTTGGTTTTTATTTTTACTTTGTTTTTCTTCTCTCAAAGCTCTTTATGAAAGGGAATAAAAATGAACTGGAAAGCCAAGCTGCCATGTTGGTGCTACCCATTATTACATCCCTCCTCAATGTGTTCATCCCATTCTTCTACTCATGGCTTGGAAACCTGGAGAAATTTCAGAATCCCAAACGCAAGATATATGTTGCTATTGCCAGGTATTTGTTGCTACCTCCACTTAGTGCTTTTTGCCTGAAGTTGGCTGACTCTTCTTTTTTACAGCAAGCTGTACCTAGGTGGTGTGGTGGGCAGTAGTGAGCTATGGAGCAGGTGAATTCATCTTCCCAAAGGCTTCTGTGCAATCTTCCCTCAAAGTTCTGTTAGCCTCCTGTAAGTCTTCTGTCTAGAATGTTGCATCTCTGCATGAAGACTTACCCTCGTTTCCTTCCCAGTTAGCAATATGGTGACCCTGGGCTTGGCTTTATAGCTCCTATTGATGGTGAGTGAGCTGTGGGTCTCCTGGAGGAAGGAAAAGAAGTGGTAAGAGAAGTGAGGAGGTCTGACTTCACTGCATATCCGTGGAATTAACACTGTATCACTACCTGTGCTCCTCAGACCTTCCTTCTCTGTGGAGTGTGTGCCCACAGCCAATGGCCTATTGAGCAGAGGCCTGTGCCAAATTTGCCCCACCTGTCCTTGATTCTGCCCGGACAGTAAAGTAATGCAGCACCTGAGCTCCAAAGATTGCTTCTGTTAGTCCTGGCACTATGGCATGCTGTTGTTATAACAGAAGTAACATGTGACCAGCAGCCATCCTGCTGTTATTCTTTCTAGGGAGGTTGCATACCTGTTGCCAGTGCAGTTAATGCTACGTTTTCTTTGTAGAACTATAATCCTGAAAATATCCATTATTGGAATACTGTGCTACTACTGGCTTAACGTTGTGGCTGTGTCGGAGTCACAGGTAAAGTTTCAAAAATATCTATCTTTGACTTACAGTACCTCATGGAGAGCCACTTTGATGGCAGGCCTGTTCAAGCAAAGAGAAGTACCTGTAGTCCCTTGGACAGCTGAATTTGCTACCCTGATATTTCTTTATTTGAATTTCTAGAGAAATGGGTAACTCATTTTCCTACATTCAGTTAAGATCTCATCTGGTTTGCAGCATCGTTCAGTGAGAGATCAGCCATTGGTTAGGATGCCAGCAAGGCTTTGGTTCATGGCACAAATTTTTGGATGCCCAAGCATTCAGGAATGTTAGATTTACATTGTTTTTCACTTCTAGACGTGTGTATCTTTGGTTTTTTTCTTTCTTACTCCTTAAAGTGCTGGGAAACACTGATTGGCCAAGATATCTATCGTCTTGTGTTGGTTGACTTCATATTTTGTTTGCTTGGCTCATTCTTTGGAGAATTTTTGCGAAGGTGAGTTGTTTTTTTTTCCAATCCTGTTTTTCTTCATTAGCCTAATACGTGTTTTGTTGTTGTTTTTGTTTCATTGTTTTTGTTTGCTTTTCCCTTGTGATAACTGTAAAGATAACAGTACTGAATTTTACCTGCGCTACAAAGCTTTTGGCATCTTAGCCACACACCTGGGGAGATCTTTACAGTTGTTTGCCCTTCAACTGAGCTGAGGACAAGATGGGTTTACAAATGAGGACTTAGACTTTTGTGTTAAATTGACACAAAACAGTGTTGAGAAGCCCTTGTAAATTTTCCCTCCTCAGCTCTTGTCGGTGTACTTTAATCCTCTCCTGTTCTTGCTCTGTTGAGATAGGAAATTACCTTCAGCAAAAGGTCACAACTAATATGCAGTGTCAGCCATTATGAATGTCATCCAGTAAGCCGTGCAAAAACAGCAGGGTTACAGCTGTAAAAGATTAGAAGCACGATTGCTTGTAATTCCTTGTATGTCTTCAGAGTAATTCCCAGCCAGCACAGCCCTGAAACATTTATTGTTGATAATGTAGCTACCAGATGGTACCAAGACCTCTATTCAAGGCAAAATGGGATAGTTACCAAAATCTTTCCAATTCTTGTTACAAAAACAAACAGCAACGAAACCTGAAACTGAATCTTTGTAGCTCAGGAGAAAATGAAATGATAAAATGAGATTTGCTGGACCCTGAGAGAAGTCCTCTGGGTACTTACTTATCTGTGTGTATCTCAGCTGCCTGCAAGACTGGTTACATTAAAGTAGAATATGCTGTAGAATATATTAAGTATTAGTTTATAAGGTTTTTTTTTTGATTGAGGCTGAGAGCTTTCAGGATTTGTGAATGGAAAAGAAGTTAAGGGTTTTTACTGAGGTAAATCATTACTTCATCTGTTGAATCATAAGCATACTACCTCCTTTCTTCTTCTTCTTTTATTGACTTGCATAAAAAACTCTGTCAGTCTTGGTTACACCACTATGTTTTATGGGAATTTGCATTTGAAGTTCTGCTTCAATTTTGATGTGCAGTCTAATCAGCTGTGGCTGCTTTGACTGATGTGTGGTTAATGGAACCCTGAATAATCTGTCACTGATGGTTGCGTTCAGGAGGTGATTTGTTGAGGTTTCTAAAATGAGTTTAACTATTTAGCAAATGCTATTTTTTTTTATTCTTTTATTTTTAATTTTTCACCCAGAATTATTGGAACTACAGTCTGTGTGAGCCTGGGGGTGCCAGAGTTTGATATTGGACGAAGTGTTTTAGATTTGATCTATGCTCAGACATTGACCTGGTAAGTGGCCAAAACCTTAATTGGTATTTGGGAATGCCATGAACATCCTGATTCAGATGTTTATGGGTACTTTACATCATGAAAGAAAGAACAGGATAAATGCCTGGGGGAGATGCTATGTTAAGTACCTTGACTTGCCAGTTCTCTTTGAGTGAGGTTACTACCTCCAGTATTATTGTAGTTTTCCTTCTGGCCACCTGGTCTGAGAGAAAACGCAAAAGAAATCATAGAATGGCTTTGGTTGGAAGGGACCTCGAGGATCATCAAGTTCCAGGCTGCAGGCAGGGTTGCCAACTGCCAAATGAAACACTAGTGTTAATGAATTGTGGAAATACGACTTCTTTTCTCTTATAAATTCTTCCTGTTAGGATCGGTATTCTCTTCTCACCTCTGCTGCCTGGTATCCAGATGATATCATTTTCTATAGTATTTTATGTGAAAAAGGTAAGAAGCTTTACATATTTGCTTCATAAAATGCCATGGAAATTACTGTTTGAAATCTACACAGGATTGATGAAGTTGAGTGCTGGGGTTGCCTGGAGGCTGAGGAGTTTGGTGCTTGGGGAGCTGTTTGGTTGTTTTTTTTTTGCTGTTTTGTTGTAGTGGGTTTTTGCTGTTTGTTTTCTTAAAGAAAGAAAGGAGCACAATTAAAGCCTAGGAAACTAACAGCAAACAGTGCATCTGTCAGTACAGACACTCAGCCTGCTGTTATGATTCTGGATTCCTACTCTCACCAGCCTCCTCCCCCCAAGGGTTCCTGGGTCTAAGTGAGGTGATTCTGCTTAATATCAAGGAGGAAGCTTTCAGAGTTCTTTGTCTCACTAGTGTGACTAGGTAAGAGATTCTTAGGAGGTGTCTGAACAGTCTGTAGTGTTAAATGTAGAAGAACATAGTTATAACTAGAAGCACAGATTCAAACTTCACTGAGCTGTGGGAAGTTTTATGTGTGCTTCAAAAGCAAACTCTGCCTGTCAGAGTTTCTGTAAAACCCATCAGAACCTCGTATCATCTCTTAGTGATTGGAAGGCTGTATTCTTGAAGTTTTAGAAAACTACAGCTTATCTGTCAAGTTCTTATAAAAGAAGTTGATGGAAACCCTTGAGAGATGCTCTTCCAGCAATTGCCTCCAGTGGTTTCAGCAGGATCGACTCAAATGCAGTGAAAGTGGCAAGTGATGCTATTCCAAGTGTATGTACCTTCATCTCTTACAAGGTCAGTCTGATGAGGAATTGCCAACCTCCTCGCAAAGCCTGGAGAGCTGCTCAAATGACAACGTTCTTCATGTTCATTCTGTTTTTCCCTTCCCTCATTGGAGTCCTGTCTGTCATTGCAGTCACTGTCTGGAGGTATGGAAGAGTGCTGACGTTCAGTTCCATGACATTGTGTTGTGTGACCTGATGGCAGGCAGAGGAAATCTGTAATAACTGCTAGTGGCAGGTTGCAGATGTTCGTAGCGTTCTGTGTTCTGCAAACAGGTTCAGTAAGTTTGCAAGTGTGGTTAATGCAGTAACTTGTCCCATAATTAAAGTGGGAGGTGAGACAAGACTGCTTTCAAGTTTTGGTATTCTGTGTTAATGTCACAGAAGATTCTTTGATTTGGCCTTTCCTGCCCCTCAAAAGTTTCTGTGACCTTGCCTGCTCCTGGGCTTAAATGCTATGGGCCATACTGGGTGTGCAGTGCAGAAACACCTGGAAGAAAACAGAGCAGGTCAACTTCTGAGCTTCTGGATTATTTGCAGATTTCAGATTTTTTTGTTTGATTTGAGTTTTTTTTTTGTTTTGTTTTTTAAAGAGTGTGCAGAGCTCTGCTACGAGGCATCTGGGTTACTAGCAGCGTTTTAAAGCTGCTTTGTTTATGTGCGTGTTACTCTGGTCACAGTAATGATGGAAACTCAGATGCAGCTCTTTTTCTTAGCAATTCTCAGCCATGTGATTTCATGTGTAGCCACCTGTCTTACTAAATAAAAACACAGGAGGTGATGTACTTCAGAAAACATATTTCCAGAGGCCAGGTGGCAATTTTGTTCTATCTGGATTGGTCCAATTTCAAAGCAAACAACATTTCTCTATTTCCATCTGCCCCAAAATGTGGATTTTTGCTAAGAACTACCTCGTTTCACCACAGCCTGTTGTTGCTGAAAGTTTACAGTGATTTGTGTCCTGGAAGGCGAGGTGTGATGGTACTTCCATTATGCAGCTGTGCTGCAACTTTGAAAATACAGATTTTCGAACTGCTGTAGTCTGTGCTGCAGTGATTGATTTGTTGCATGCAGTGCACATGGCTTAGCAGGGATCTGTTGCAGCATCTCTTATCTCCGGCTGCAATAGGCTCAGAGGTACTGAGGTGGAATTTTAATGTCTTGGAGCTGACCCCAAAAAGTCAGCAATTATAGATGATGGCATTCTGTGAGGGTCCCAAAGAAGTGGAGGGCAATAGCGAGGCAGAGAACAACAATGCACTGAATTAAATCGCTTGTTAGTGTAGGAAATGTTAAATAGCTGCTTTCTCATGCTTTCAGGTTGAAACCTTCAAAAGAATGTGGTCCTTTCCGAGGTCTGCCTTCTATATACACAGCAATCTCTGAGTGGGTAAAAATACTGGAAAATTACATTGATTCAAAATGGGTAGCATGGGTCTACTACAACTTAATAGCAAGTGAACTTTTCTTCTTCATCCTCTCCGTCGTTATCATGTGAGTACCTGCTGATGAAAAGGACACGGAGTGGAAAAACCTGGCTAGGCCATAGCCATTCTCTGTAACAATTGCAGGGTGCATTTTAGAATACTAGAAACGATTAATATAAGGGAAACTCATGTATTTGAAGTATGTAAAGAAGTTATAAAACCTATTCCTTTTATGTTACGATGCCAAAGCTCTCTTTGTTTCATGCTAACTGAAGGATATACTGCCGTTTAATTTAATATTTTTAGTTCACTGGTGAGTTGGCTTCCAGGTCTCATTACCACTGCCACTCTGAGCTGCAGCAACATCAGTGAATGGGAACATCTGCATACTGTTGGCAGGATGAATTGACTTATTTACTTATTTAAAGAGATATAAATCAGAAGGCAAAGATCTGTCATTCACAAGTAGAACGTGTCAGATCTATGCTAGAGCCTTGGGCAGCATAAAAAAAAAAGTAGAGGTTTTGTGGGTGGCTGCTTTGTCTTTCACCATTTTTCTTCAGTGGAGTCACTTGTGGAGGTGCTGATACCTTGCAAAAATATCTGAGTTAATGTGTGGGCACTGGAGGAAGGGCATGGTGGTGCACGAATGGCGTGTGGAAGTGAGCACGCAGTGCGGGGAAATGCTCCGAAGTCAGCTGCAGTCTAAGTCAGCCGATCTCAGGTAAATTCCTGTGCTGCCTCCCTGCCTAAAGTTAGCTATATAGGTACTAATGTATGTGCATCTTCAAGATGCTGGCCTGCTGGCAGGGGTTGAAGTTGTAGCTGTGCTGCCGGATTATTTTGTCGTGCTCACCTAAGAGCCCAAACCTGTTCTAACTAAACAAGCTGCCATTCATGCTAGAGCAAATAAAATTGGCTTGGAAGCAGGACTGTTCAGTGTTGTGATGTAAGGTCTAAGTAAATGACACAAAGTTAGATAAGAACACTGTATTCGTTTGTAGTCTGAAATGTACCTTTTATTGTTGACTTGCTTTAATTGTGCCTCCCTTCTTGAATAAGATTCCATAAACCTTTGGGTCTTTTCCAAGATAATGGCTTAAGCAATTTCACGTGTTTGGCAAGTTCCATATGTAATTGTGTGTATGTATGCATATACTTATGTATGTGTGTATACCTGTGTATTTGGTGGATGAAATGAACCAAGACAAATGTCTGTTTAAGCAGTGATTGGGAGGAGCACATTGGTATGAGCGTTCATCTTATGGACTTTTGTTTATTTAGAGTTATTGCTTACCTTTTCTGGCAAATAATAAGAGGAAGAAGAACCATGGCCAAGCTCTTACGTGAGCAAATTGTTAATGTAAGTTTGACTTTCAGCTTTATTTTGTTTAAAATTTGGCTTTCTTGCTGATTGTCTCACTCTGCTGTTGTGCAGCTGTAATCTTTTTCTGCAGCAATGCAGAGGAAGGTGGAAGCCCTCCTGTGTGCCAGCTGTGGGGAAACTGCTCACAAATAATGTTATTGCAAAGGAATTTTATGTTCAAACTGTGCTGCTGCAGCTTCTTTTGTAGATCAGTTACTCATTGAGTCTCCCTTAATTATTAGTCCATTCCAGCTAATGATCAAGTGTGTTTTGTGTGCAGGCAGGAAAAGACAAAAGGTTTTTACTTGAAAAACTACAGATGCTACAGAGAACACAGAACCCATTTGCACCAAGAGGACAAGAGCAGCAGGTCAGTCTGGTAGCTCAGATCCCCCTGTGCAGTGATGTGCAGTGACTGTAAAATTGTGTGGGATTCGTCTAGACTTGTGAAGATGCTGCCATTTTGGCTATGTCTGTATTTAAAACTTGAAGTGCTTGCTTCCTAGCTAGCCCCAGAAGACTAAAGGATACTTGGAAATTTCCTACTTGCTAAAGAGTAGAACTTAACCTGGGAGCACAGATAGAAAGGTCTTTGCCCTCACTAGAAGTTATTTATGGTTATGAAGCTGCAGGAAAATTCCTGCCTCAGTGTGTAGTGATGGTCAGTAAAGAGTGTGGTCACACTTGGATATTGCCTAGAGTAAGAAGGATGCTGCCCTCCTCCTCTGACTCCAGGCTTCCTTCAGGCTTTATGTTTTGTGCCCTTTCCACCCATTTTTTCAGCTGAGTTAAACTGGGTTTAAACCTGACTTAACTCCATTTTAAATTCCACATAGCATCATTTGACACCTAACATTTTTTAATTTGAAATCACTTTGTCCACTCAAAGTGGCTGCTAGCTGAGCCATCAAATGAGTATCTGTCCTGTGGAGAACAGCTTGCCAGTGCTATTTGTCTGCAGTTGCTGCTCTGCTCTGCATTTGCTCAGTGCATTTTTAGTGCTTCAAAATAAGACAGGATCACTTTTATTTTCTTCACCCACTCAGGTTAGTACAGTGCTGTTTGCAGAGCACCGAGGTGCATCTCTGTGTCACTGTGAGATGTAATCCTGGACTATACAAAGGAAAAAGCCTTGGCACTCAGGCAGTCTGTTGGTGACATATCAGATTGCCTATTGCTTTCTAGAACTCTCCCTAAAGGAAGGGTAACAGATGTGGATGCTGACCATCAAGCCACGATTGGAAGCCATTATGTATTACTGCTAATGTCAAATACTCTGTCTTTCAGAGAATTTCTTCTTTATCCCACTCATCCATGCCACCTGCCCAGCAAGAATCAAACTATCCACGAAGGACATTTGACAGAAATCAAAATGCATCCTACAATGAGGTGAGAGTCAGAGATAGAAGTCTCTGCTTGATGTCCATTGACTATATCATGCCCTAGGCTTTATACAGTTGGACAAAGAGAACATCCCTTATGTGTAGAAATAATTGATTTGAACAGAAAGAAAATATAATTGGAATAGCTTGCAGTTGGAATTGTATTTGGAATATTTGTGCTCATAGTCCTGCTTGAGATGTAGAGGTAGTATGGCTTTGTTATGGGGAAAGTATAGTCTTAAATACAAGATAACAGGCATGTGAGAACAACGCTGACTTACGTCTACCTGTGAATTTCGTTTCCAGTATCCTTACTCTGCTGGGATCTCGAGGAGGACTGGCTTCCCATCTGGTGAGCACAGAGAAAGCGATGTTCGTAAGCTCAGCTTACAAATGTTTGATTTAGTATAGACAAGATGCAACAGAGGTAACAGACACTTTAGCATTAGTAGAAAGAGGCAATAGAAACAAGAAACTGAGTTTCTGGGGCTAAAGCTCTCCTACAGAGCATGCTTATTGGTGGCTTGTTGTGATGGTAGTGGTGACTTCTGAAGAGTGATCACAAACTTCTGTACACAACAGCTGAATCTCTGGGTAAATGAGACAGTTCATCTTATGGGAACATAGGCAAGAATATTAGATCATTAAGGGAGTACTTCAGTTGTTTCGGAAGTGGTTGTTAATGTGGAGTCCCTGGCACATTGTGTGGTGAAACAGCTATGGAAACTTGCACGGTAGCTTCCTGGTTTATACAAACGTGTTCCTTCCAGCAGATGAGGTGTTCAAATAGTGCGGGGCTTTCTATTAGAGGGTGGTTATTGCACCTACATCAGCACGCTTTAATTTGTTTCCCTTGTGAAAAACAGATTGGGAAACACCCCAGCCGAGCAGCAGCTCAGGGATGTCTGAGGCAGTGGCACTGGCTCTGCGTGCGAGGCAGGCGGCTCAGTGGGAAGATTTAAATGACAACAGCCATCTTCGACCATGAGCAGGCAGTCAGCAATGGGTGCTGAGTAACCCATGGATGTTCTGCAGAAGGCAATACTGATTCACACGACTGAAAACAACACTGATTTTTTTTATTCCCTCTCGTGGAAGAAAAAACAGGTTGCAAAATGCGATCTGAGCCAACTGAGCATTGGTCAAATACAGAGAAAATAAAATGAAAGCACAATTGCTTTGAATGACTGTGATGTTTCAATGGCTGCAAACTGACTTGTGTGAATGATTGTTAATCCTGTTGTAGTTGCCCTTCTCTGAGCCATTTATGTAGGCTTTGTTACAGTTGTTCAACACCAGCTTGAGGAATTCTTTTTTAAAAAAAAAAAATTGCTCATCAAAATTCTCATCTGTGTAAAACCACCCCTTACAAACAAAAAGGTTGTGACAACTTGTCCAGTTTGGAAGTAACAAGGACTCTTCCGAAGGTGAATCTTGCTTCTTTTTATTCATAGCCACAAATAAAGCTAACAAGCTTTAATTAAAAAAAAGTACTATTTTTTTAGCCTGTCTTTTACTAGTGCCTGGTTTATTTATTTATTCCTCCCTAGCTGCTTTGGACAAAAGTGCCTAGGAAAAAGGTAAATCTGCTCCTTAAGCTTACAGTTTGTTTTAAGGACAACAGGAAACAGGTCACCAAAGATACAGAAAAAAAGGACAAAGCATACAGTCAAGACCAGAGATGGAATTTTATTCTGTTTGTGCATGCATGGCTGTGGGTCAGGCTGTGAATAGGGCAGGCAGCAAAGAGAGTAACTCCGCTGTGCCAGCAACCCAAGTAGCAACAAGAGACCTTTAGAGAAAAGATTCCTTGCTGTGAAGGCAGCTCTTCTGAGCAGAGCCTGGAGAGTGACTGCAGAACGCAGCAGTAAACATAAAGGTTGGCACTCAGGGCTGGCCACAAACTAGATGGAGGTGTGACAAATGTACAGATCATACAGCATGTAAAGCAGAAAACTGAGATTGTTGGTTTTGCAGTACACAGCGGATGAGTGATGTGATAGGAAAAATACATCAGGGAATTCCCCTGTAGCAGAAATGGCAAATCATACCCTGAACCAGTGCTGGAGCACCTGGTGGGAAGGCAGGGCCAAGCCATGGGAGCTCAGGTGTGTGCAGTGCATGTGAGTGACTGGAAGGGGTGGAGCCAGGATCCATGCCTTCCCAGACCTCATTTAAGGACTGACTGTGGAGGCCAGGGCATCTCACTGCCAATTCTGCTACCTGAGGCCTCCCAAGGGTAACCAGCTTCTTTCCTTTGTTTCTGTGTCCATGGCTGCTGCATTGAGCATATCCTCACTTGCTGCAGCTTAGGACTTTGCTACTATGCTGTCACTGGGTGCTTTCCATCACATTATAGCATTACACACCCTTACTCCCATGTTTCTTTGTGCTTATGTGTAGTTCAAGATAGAAAGAAAAAAGCTACCTCAGCTTGCAGAAGGCAGCAATCATTGGCTGATGACCCTTGCATTTCTCTGTGAGAACAGAGATTTTTTTGAAGAAAAAAAACAAGCACTGCAGTAGTGTTGTCACTGTCCATGTGGCAGCACCTGGAGCAGCTCTGTTCCTACCTGGGGTTGGTGTATGAAGCTATTTCCAGAATGTATTTGACCTTCTCATCCTTGTGGTATTAAGTGCCTCTGCTGCCTCGTCTCAGAACATCTCACAGAATTTGAAGCAAACCGAAGTGTTTTTGTAACCAGACTGGAAAGCTACAAACAGCACATGCCAGGCAGTTGCAGATCTGAGTGCTGTTGCACCACATGAAGAAGATGCACTTAATTTACCACTCGTTTAGAAGTCTGAACTTCACTGGCACGATTGTACAGTTCTTTCCACTTACAACTAAGTATTTTATTTAAGTATCTTTTGCCTCTTAACATTGATTTTAAACATCAGCTAGCTCTGATATTTAATTCTAATTGAGGAGCACTATCAAGAACATTTATATACAAAGCAGTATAGTGAACTGCACCAGTGATCCATGCAACCTGCCGTTCTGTTGCTGCTAAGTGAAGGTTTCCCAGGGCACAACACAAAGTGCTCAGAGTATCGTGTCAGCTGGAACACAGCAGTGCCCGCATAAGGAATCAGTGACTGCAACAACTGAGTAGCACAAGGAATTGCCCTCCCAAAACATGATTGCACTTTCTACCAGATGCAGCACAGCCATCTCTCCATGAAGGAGGAGGGAGATATACCTGCCCTCTATTTTGGCACCATGTTTTGCCACTGTTCTCAGAACAGCGATGTGGATGCTTTTAAGATACCATAAATAATCTCAAATTATTACAGTTATAGAACAAGCTTTCAAGTACTAGAATCAAGGATGATGACTGTTCAGTACGTCATCAAAAATGCCTGATACGACTTTATAACCAAGACTAAACAAAGCAAAAGAAGAGTCAGTTTGCTTTTGTTGGTAATCACACCTGAGTAAGACAGCTTCTGTTAGTTGGTGAGTCCCTCCAAGGTCTAGTAATGAGGATCACAGTCTTCCACCAAGCTGTCTGTGATGTAGCTGGATTCAAGGATGGTTTCATAGTACATTTTTTCTGCAAATGTGTTCACTGTCCAGGCAACCACTTGAATTCCTTTTGAGGACCAGTGCCTCACGTAATCTCTGTAAGGAACAAACACATGGTATTTAAGGCAGACTTTAGTACTGAGGCTAAAATTGAGTTTCAGTCTTACACCAGTAGCTCATCAGGAATGATATTGTGTTATCTTCTGCAAAATGCCATTTTTTGTGTGTTTTGTTCTTGTAAGAAGTAGAGGCTTAAAGAATAAAATGGCATGCAGTAAAGAAACTATCTTACACAATGCTAGAGAGATGGTAATGATTAACATGTATTGCTTTAACTCCACCCTCGTATCCTAATAGAACGCTATGGCCTGCTGGTACATCAGTGAGCTTTGGCACTTACTGAGAAATAAAATTTTTCTGGATGAGGAAAGCTGAAACCCCACATAATCGCCACAAGAAGCTGTGGAGGCTCCAATCCAGAATGACATCCAGCATCATATACAGATAATGTTTCCAGAAGGAACTGAAGCGAGGTGTCCCATCTCCAAAGTGACTCAGCTGCCAAGGTCTGTATGTCAGTGCTGTTACCACGTTGCTGTCAGCTTGTCTCATCTGGAAGGTCCAAGCAGAAAAGATGAATGCACACAAAGCATTAAACTGGGAGCAGTTAGATATTAATGCTAGCTTGAATGTGCAGCTGTACCAGAATCCTTCTCCCCTTTTCCCCCCAGGTCCTTTTGTAACTTAGAAAACTATATGATATTGTAGTTTTTTTCTTAGATCTGTACAGAATAAGCAACTGCTCTTACATAAAAAAAAACCAACATCACAGTGATGCTGGAACAGAACATTCAGGAAACTGAATAAAATACATGACAAATGGCCTTAACAACAATTAGAAAGCTGTGGTAAGAAAGGTTTATGTTTACATCAAAAGATGATATTTATTTAACTGCTATCTTGCACACAGGCACCTAATTGGTTACTACTCATTTCTACATAATGTTCAGAACAGAGGGAATTACTGTAGGTTCAGAATACGTGCATCTAATGAGCACAGTGTGATCTAATCAGATCATGCAGTAGATTTAGGATTTAGCTTCATTTGTTTTTAATGTTTTTGCAATTTCAGCAACCCAAAAGTACTTTGGAAGCTGTAAATCCTTACTGAAATTCCCAGACAGAATTCAAAAGTTACAGAAACTTTGAGGAAACATCACCTTATAAACAACATCTGGCATGAAAGAACAGACTATGCTGCTGTTATACAAACGAGGAAATTCCAGGTAGAGTTGTTTTAGGGCATCGACTGCCTGCCAATTAGAGATACACACAGATGTAATATTTACAAACACACATAATATTTACTTTCTGCTGCAAAGTCATTTTATTTCTTTAAAAACACTTCCTGTTTTGTGTAGCAAGTCTGAAATCTCCAGGAAGGGAGAAAAAAAGGTTTTATAGCATTATCACACAAATGCCAGTATGGTTTTTACAACAGAAGTCTTTATGTTGGAGCAGGTCCAGAGGAGGGCCACGAAGATTATCAAAGGGCTGCAGCACCTCCTGTGAAGAAAGGTTGCAGGAGCTGGGTTTGTTTAGCTTGGAGAACAGAAGGCTCCAGGGAGCCCTCACTGCAGCCTTCCAGTACTTGAAGGCTGTGGCTGCCCCATCTCTGGAGGTGTTCAGGGCCGGGTTGGATGAAGTTCTGAGCAGTCTGATGTGGCTGGCAACCCAGCCCATGGCAGGGGGTGGAACTACGTGATCTTTTAAGGTCTCCCCCAACCTAAGCCATTTTATCATTCTATGATTATGATTCTGTTTGAGAATGCTACTCATTGCTCTCATATTTGAAATACCCTTAAATAGATTATAGAAAAAAAAAAATATGAAGAAGGCATAGTAAGGCTTAGTTCAAAGGGAAAAAATAATTTATTTCCATATTTTACTAACTTGCATAAAATGTTTATGACTGCTCACCTGTATCTGCCTTCAGTAATACGAATTAGAGATGACTGGGATCCCTCGCTGGAACTGAAGATCAGACACTGGGTTCCCTCAGCACAGGCAGGGAATTTGTTTTGCTTTGTTGTGGTGATGTTGAACTCAGTAGCCATGAGTCAGACGAATTTTAAATTGCCATTTGCCAGACAAAGCAATGGGATGAGGGAACACATTGTCTTTATTTCTGACAGCCCAGCTTTGGCTGATGCAAACAGCAGACCCATTTTCAGGCACGTTAGAGAAGGCACTGTACCACAGAGACCAGCTTGAGACCAACAAAAAAAGGCTGAAAACCCAAAGAAGGGGTTATAGTACAATAAGTGGTACCTGATTTGCATGGCCTTTGACATCAAAGTAGATTGTAAGATTGTGCTGCAAAGACTCCACTACAGCTTCTCTCAGAGTTGGTACCTTTTCATTCTGGAATTTGCTCCTGCAGAAACAGAGAACT